GTCACCCCGTCTTACACCTCTCTGCAATTGGATAGGTTTCGTACTATGGTTCTGTACTCGGATAGCCATCGTAGCCCTACTGTACAAGCACTTCAACACTTCGATATACCGACAGTCAACTTGGCACCGCTGAAGGGACTGCAGCACCGCCCAAATTTCGACGGAATCAAAGGCTTTCTCATAGTCCACATACGCCAGACATAGTGGCAAATTGTACTCTTCGGACTTCTGTACAATTTGCCGAAGGGTATGTATGTGGTCTATGGTGCTAAAGCCCTTTCGGAAACCGGCTTGTTCGGGAGGCTGGAAGTCGTCAAGTCCGCGCGCGAGACGATTCGTAATGACTCTCGAAAACAGCACGTAGACGCGGCTCAGAAGGGAAATCGGTCTGTAGTTCTTCAAGAGAGCGTTGTCACCTTTCTTGAAGAACAAGACCACCGCACTTCTGCTCCACGCCTCCGGTGTAATGCCACCATGGAGGACGGAATTAAAGAGCTTCTGAAGGACTTCAAGTAACGGTCTTCCACCCGCTTTCAGAAGCTCCGCTGTAATTCCATCCTCGCCTGGGGCCTTACCGTTTTTAAGGTGCTGGAGAGCCATTCTAACCTCGCTCAGACTGACGTCCGGGATATCTTCGGAATAGTGTCGGATGAGACTCGCTCTTGGATCGTTACTCACACTTGCGTGTGGCTCCAACGATGACGTGTACAACTGCCCATAGAACCTCTCAATCTCACTCAAAATCTCAGGTGTCCCGGAAACGATGCTGCCACATTCTGTCTTCAGCTTTGACAGTTGGCTCTTTCTGGCAGACAGATCTCTGGCAAAGACTTTGGAGCCTTGGTTCCGCTCGATCGCTTCTTCAATACGAGCTCTATTGAAGTTGCGTAAGTCCCGCCGCATGCATTTGGAGATCTGTTTTAATCGTTCTTTATTATTTATTGGTTCGAGATTTTTTTTTCTAAATTGTCATAATAGTCGAAATAGTCATATATTGTATAGCAGACTTAGTGGTACCAGCGTGAAGCTCGCTGAGCATTTACGACCAAGCTATCCTACTCTTCCTGACCGTGGGTGCTCAGGCTGCACCCGGTATTTGGGGCGGTGGGGAGGGGGGTGATTCCGCTCACGAACAAAAAGGTCAAGCGGAGCAATAAGACCAAGGCCACCCCTGTCACGCTATCCGTGAATTTGTGCAACATCAGGGGACTTCATTCGAACCTTAACGCTTTCCACTATCATCTGGAGACGGCGAAGGTGGCGTTGCTCTTTTTAACTGTGACTCAGGTGTCCTCTCCGCTCTAATACTTCATATCTCTCTCCTACCCGGGTTACACATTAGAACACACCTTTGTGCCTCGGGCTGGAGTTTGCGTGTATGTCAGAGAGGACATCTATTTTCGACGCCTCGGCAGCCTTGAAGGTACGGACCTGTCCATCTTATGGCTGCGCGTAGACCGTGACGGCCATCCCCGTGTCTACGGGTGCCTTTATAGGTCCCATAGCAGTAATGCCGAAACAGACCGACTCATCGAATTCATCGGCTACAGATTCCTTGCTATAGCAGATCCCATCCGCAGAGATCGTGATCCTTGGTGATTTTAACGCACACCACGCCGAATGGCTCTGTTCACGTTCAACCGATTATGCGGGGAGATCTGCTTATGACTTTGCTTTGGCATATGGTCTTACACAGCTGGTTGCTTCGCCTACGTGGATTTCAGATATGGGGGATCATGCATCTTACCTGTTGATCCTTCTGCTGACCTCTCATCCGGACGGATATCAGGTTTTCGTCGACGCTCCTTTAGTCTCGTCGGACCTCTGTCTTGTCCGCAGTGTGGTGCCACTCACACTAACGTCGCGGTTGCATTCCGCAGGCTGCCGTCGTGTTTGGCACTATAGGTGGGCCGATTGGGATAGGATACGGTCTTTTTTGCATCATACCCTTGGGGCGGGTTTGCTTCTCACCGGAAGATCCCAGCGTTGTTGCTGATTCTGTCGGTGATATGCTACTTCAGGGTACTTTTTATTCCATCCTCTGTGGTGCCCATCGGAGGCAAATCCCAGTCATGTTTTGGTCGTTCCTGTAACATAGCATCACGGCATAAGCATGAGTGCTACCGGGCCTGGGCTGCCGCATCGACGTCTGGTGATGTAAACACTGCTCTTAAAAAGAAGTATAATTCAGCCTCCAGGTCCTTCAAAAGAGTCATTGCCAAGGCAAGGTCTGAGCACATCGGCTGAATTAGCGAGAAGCTAGTTCGCCTTCCTTCGGGAATTCGTACATTCTGGTCTCTTGCCAAGGCTGTCCAAGGAAACTTCTGTAAGCCATCTCTTCCATCTCTGCACGGAGAGGACGACTCACTGGCCCATGTTGCAAAGGAGAAAGCCGATCTGTTAGGCTCTCTCTTTGCGTCCAACTCAACTCTCGATGACGGGTGGAACACACTGCCGACCATCCTGCGATGTGAGTGCTCCATGCCGGATGTGCAGTTTACATAGCGCTCGGTTCTCAAAGCACTTCTCTCCCTGGACGTCAACAAGTCGAGTGGGCCTGATGGAGTCCCTCCCATTGAGCTGAAAACGTGTGCTCCGGAGTTGGCACGCGTTTTAACGCGTTTTTTCCAGTACTCCTACTCCCAAGACGTAGTCCCGAATTCATGGCAGACAGCTTTGGTCCACCCGATCCTTAAAAAAGGCGACCGCTCGGACCCGTTTAACTACAGGCCTATCGCCATCACCTCCTTGTTCTCCAAAATAATGTACTCCATGATAAACTGCCAGCTCATGAGGTACCTTGAGGATCACCAGTTGATTAGTGACCGACTCATAGATGGGCGGAGGCAGTAGAGTCCAAGGGGGAGGAGTTGTCTGTTAGTTTGAACATAGCGAAGGCCTTCGATCGGGTTTGGCACAAAGCGCTTCTTTCGAAGTTCACTTCCTATGGGCTTCCCGATAAATTGTGTAATTGGATCACCAGTTTCCTTGCTGATCGGAGCTTCAAGGTCGTAGTAGACGGTGCATGCTCTGCTTACAAGCCTATTAACGCTGGTGTTCAACAAGGCTCCGTGCTATCACCAACGCTGTTTCTTTTGCATATCAATGATATGTTGTAAACTGGAAACATTCATTGCTATGCAAACAACAGCACTGGTGATGCCCTATACATCGGCCGTGCCAATATTTCTCGGGAATACGTCGCCGAGTACCGGGACAAACTTGTGTCTGAACTCGAGTCTTTGCTGAACAAAGTCTCCGATTGGGGGCGACTAAATCTAGTCCAGTTCAATCGCCAACAGACATTAATTAATTAATTTCTTAATTTAAAAAAAAAGCTTAATTTCACGGCATAAGTTTATGATTAAATTTTCTTCAATAATCAACTGATAAACTCAAACGAATGACCTTGTAAATTTCAATAAAATATGATTTAGAGTATTAAGTAGGTACCTATTTTGTACATAATACAATAGTACATAATACAAGTTGTGAAAGAAAATTCACAGAAAAATATTACATTTACTAGCTGTTCCCGGCGACTTCGCCCGCGTGGAGTTAATTTTCGCGGAACCCTAGAATAACAGCAGTCCAAGTTACTCCTTATAACATCAGCTATCTGTCGTGTGTATAAATATTAACAAATATTGACATTAATATTTATACGATACTAACGTCACTTAATTGTTTTGCCTTCCCGGAACCCCTCCACTAACACTTAAACTTTATGGTGTGGTATTAAAGTTCAAATTGACTTTTAAGTATTATTACGAATCTTTTGTATGGGAATATAGAAGAGTTGTTTTTAGACCTTTACAGGCAATTTTTTAAGTTTTTCTTTCCGTAAGAACCATCTTCGTACTTCAAGGAATATTATAAAAAAAGAATTAGCGAAATCGGTTCAGCTACTCTCGAGATTTGCGCTTAGCAACACATTCAGCGATTCATTTTTATATTATAGAAGATTTATATTAAGTAAAAGCTTTGTGTCTGATGTTGATCTCTGATCTGATGTCTCCGTGACCGTAAAGTGGGTGCTGTAAAGTCCCCAATACGCCGGGAATTTAAAGAGACCTCCCTCCTTCGCCTAGATTGCTTCACAGGGAGATATTTGTCATAGTTGCCATCTTTGGTATGCTGTTTGGCAACCGCAGTTCTATTTAATCCTAAGTTCTTGTCATGAAGACGCTACTGTCCATCTCCTGGTTTGCTTCCCTTTGTCGTTTAAGATACATTATTATGAATTATGCAGGGTTATTTTGCAATTACCGGCCAAATTTACAGAGAAGTCAGAATAAGTAATATAGGTGAAGAAAAATTAATTTAAAAAATCTTAAACATTCTGTCTTTTTATCCTTTAAGTTCAAAATGCGTGGTAATTTATTATTTTAACTGATTGTCATTCATAAATATCTGACGTCTACTATTTTACTACGCACGCACACAGTCGTAAGAGTCGATTGGTCGTCAAAAACGTTGTGAATTGAATCGCACTCAGAGGAGCGCGCGTACACGTAGTTGTTGCCCATAAATCACATTTAATTTAGTCAATTAATTCCAAATTGAATATGATTTATGGGCAACAACAACATATCCACGGATGAATTTCCCTGAAAATAATCCTGCTGCCCACTATATTACCTCATCAATAAGGTAATCTGGATAGGAATACAAAAACATATTTTTAATTTGGCTTTTTAATGCTTAATATACATCATTATTGATTACACTATACACATTGATTTCCTTGCTATAAAATGCTATCTATTCAAAACTTCAGTAGGCGTCCCAAAAAAATAAATAAAATAAAAATAATCTTTTAACTCTCAGTTTATAGAAAATGTTCTATATTAAAGATATTTTGCATTTATTATGATATTAAAGCATTATCACTAAATTTATTATAATATGGACAAATTTAATCTTTATTGTGTTGATATAAACAGGTGCAACGACGAGCCGGCGGTGAACCGATAGTTACTGAAACAAAAAATATTTTATTAAACAGAGTATTTCAACCAAATACGGATATTGTATAATACAATATTATTTACCAATGAAGTGGTTCCGAAGAGTTTGTACCATCCAATGACGATGTTGGAAAGATTAAGGTCATCTAGCATAATCTGCGCAACGCCCATGAACACTTTCTTCCCTTCAATTCGACCATAATCGCCCCATACCGTCACCTGCACATGAAATATTCATTTTATAAGAGAAAAAAGTAAAGTAAAATTACAGCCTTTATAGGTCTCATGCCTGAGCACAGACCTCTTTGACTTTGAGAACTTTGAGAGGGTTATAGATAGAGTAATAGTTCGCCGCGCTGCTCCCAATGCGTGTTAGCGGACTTCACGTGTCCTCGAAATATTTCTTGGATACACAGGTTTGTTCACGGTGTCGATTTAATTGGTGCTGGCGGAGATCGAAAACCGGATGCTCGCGTACTGAATACGTTAAGAGAGTCGTATATATTTCTATTCTAAAATGTGAGAAATTTATAATCACATCTCTCTTTACACCCCGTAAAGCAGCCCATAGACACATACAAGAAACTTCAAACAAAAAAGGTTACACATGCGTTGTCACCTCTGGCGACTAAGATGGAATGCCACACAGCCTGTTACCGGCCCTCTATACCCTCCATACCGGAATACAGCTTTGTTGCTATTTGGCAGCAGAAATACGTAAGAGAGTAGAAGTACGTAGTCGGTCTACCCAGTGACCCAAACGAACCTAGAAAAGGAGTCGTAGTTGATATTTTTAACAATAAATAGATATTTTAAATAATTAAACCACACATCATAGAACAACAGGAGAGCAAGGAGGCGTGGCGCTTACGAACGCATCTGGCCGCAAAGCCTGATGTCAGTTTCAGTAATTAGTCGAATGTCAACTTGCGATGTCTTCACTGCTCGTGATTTTTGACAAAATGCTGATTTGTTCAGTTATAGTTTGCAAAAATAATAGCTGTATTATGAATTACATGAAAGATGACATCTCATTTCACACGTAAGTACTAAAATATTAATGTTTTTCTTACTAAATTCATTAAAACATTACTTCGTGGTACTAGAAACACGATAAAAAACGAAATCAAATGTTTTGATTAGGAACAAAAACCATTGCTTGCTTAGTACAAATCGACCAGCGAATCGGCTGGCCTAATAGCGCAATGGATAAGTGTTGTACAGATACTCTCACTAACACGATAGTTTCGTGAAACGGCCGCTGCCGGCTTTTGTGAGTTAGAGATGTGATTTTTGTGGTTGTGGATATTTTATACGATTCTGCTAAGTACGAATAATTATGCATGCTACAATTTATTATTGTAAAACATAATTTGTTAGTACAGTGTAAGGACTTGCGCATTTTATGGTGTTATTGAGAGTTGTCGTTAAATAGAGATAAGAACAAATTATTTACTATTATAATATGCATTTACTAATAAAGTATAAAATTTACAAACAACAACAGAGACAACTAACAACGCTTATTGCAAGAAATACTGAAAATAGAAAGTAGGTACTTTTAATAAATGATATTTCTTAATCACTCGAGTTATCTTTTATTGAATCAATAGCTAATGGGAATATAGGTAACTAGGAACTTCAGAAACCGGCCATTAAATAGGTGATAAAATGTAAAAAAAGTGTGGTTTTTACTTTATTACGCGGCCACACATCATGCTATATTTTCCAGTATAAGCTGATCTCGTATTGTATAAGATTTCCGTACAATGCGAGGTCAGTGTCATCATCATCATTCATATATTGCTTTTACTATAAAATTTCAGCTATCCAAAGGATCCAAAAAAGGGATAAATGTGACAGGAAGGGGTCCAACTGGTTCCCAGCAAAAAATAACACAATATGCTCGTCTCACTTTGAGCCAAAGTGCTTTCAACAATTAAAGAAAGTTCGTCGGCTCTTCGAATAGTCGGGCCCAACATTGAAGTTGCGTCATACGTATTGTTGACGAGTTATATAGAACCGTCCTTATCCAAAGTTTTTACGAGTTTTATTTCTTGATACAAATATAAAACGAAGTAAGTTCTTATAACTGTAGCTACTATGAGACATTATGTAAATGTGTAATATTTTTTCTTAATTACAGAGTGTTGCTTCAAAACCTCCAATCGGAACGATTACAATTACAAAATTTCTCTTGTAAGCAAAACGATGATTCGGAAAATACTGTTTAAAAGTCTACAATAGATGGTGTCGATACTAACTTGAACGCTCGACAAAATAGCATTTTGGAGCATCAAGAAAATCCGCGAAAAACGATCTCATCGAAACTTCTCGAAAGCTTAAATGACGCCAATTGATTTCCGTACAAGAGAATCTAATAAAAAAAGCAAAAACTACAAATTAAAAGGCTTCAAAAGAAAACCAGCCGGTATCAGAAAAAATCGCAAATTTAAAAGAAATTTTGAAAAACCTCAATAAAAAAACTACATTAGCGCTGATCACGTTACGCAATTAGAAAACATTGGCGTGACCGACCTTATCCAGCGTTATGAGAGAAATGTTTCATCAGGGCAAAGCACTAATCAGAAGTATTCTCCTGGTTTAAGAATTTTTGCAACTACCCTTCATTTTTACTCTTCAAAGACTTACGCATATGTAAAGAATACATTCCAAACCGCTCTGCCTCATATTCGTTCAAAAAAAGTGGTACCAATCTATCGATGCTCAGCCTGGATTATCGCAAGAATCATTAAAAGCAATAAAACTTAAAACTGCCTGCAGGAAACACAAATTGTTGTGTAATTTAGTTATAGACGCACTGGTATGTCGATATATCGAATTCAGCAGAACAAGTGGATTGCTTACCCGATGCCAAAGAAGTTCTTGTTTTTTTAGTTACCGCAATTAATGGGGCTTGGAAAATACCAGTTGGGTATTTTCTCGTTGATGGTGTTACAGGGGAACAGCGGTCCAATCTTATCATACAATGTTTGGAATTACTAGAAGATACAGGTAGTTATCTCGATGACTTTCGACGGCTGTTCATTCAACATCACCATGGCTAAGAAACTCGGATGTACTTTTGAAGTTGAAAATTTAAAATCTTCTTTTGAACACACCGTTACTCCTTAACCTGTACATATGTTTTCGATCCATGCCACAAGCTGAAGTTGTAGAGAAATGCTTTCGAATCATATGGGTACTTTGTGGATGCTTAAAATATGGATAAAATTGAGTCACTTGAAAAACAACATTCAGAATAAATAAAAACTGCACTTAGCAAACAAAGTATGAAAAAGTCACATCTACTTCAAGAGCCAAAAAATGGAAGTTCGCTTAGCGTCGCAATTATTTAGCAACAGTGGTACAGATGCTATGAATTTTTGTTGTGAAATTCAAATGGCTGGTTTTCATGAATTAGAAGGCACCGTCTTTAATTTAATTTATTAATTATTAAAAAATTAAGGCACAGTATTTAAAAACTGTTAACAACTTGTTCGAGGTATTAAATTCAAGGCATATGGCCCAGCTCCATTATAAAAAAAACAATTTACCCAGGCAACAAATACAAGGTATTTGAAACTTTAGAAAAAGCGAAACGGTATTTAACTTATATAAAGCTTCCAGACGGTAAAAAGGTTATCAGTACACCAAGAAAAAGGTTTTATTGGCTTTTTAACGTGCATAGAAAGCCTCAAGGCATTTTATATACAACTAGTTGAAAAGGACCAAACACTTAAGTACGTTCCAGTTTACAAGATCAGCAAAGATCATTTGTAGCTTATGTTTGGACATATAAAGTCTCATGGTGGATACAGCACCAACCGAACGGCAAGCGATATATAAAAAAAAACTCTTGGTAAAGTCGGAGCTTAGAAGTGTAGATCAGGGAAACTGTACAGCTCTTGAGGAGGTTTATTTTTTGGCGTGCTCCTCTGCTGTTAAAAATATAAATCTGACAATCGAACCATGTAAGATAGATGAAAGTAATGATGAAGACGAGATGACTTCACTGTGTGAACAAGCCGTATTTGATGAAGAAGTTAGTATACTTCTACAAGACATCACAGAATTTAGTAGCCAGATATTGTCATACATATCAGGACTTAGTTTATCGCCTGCTAAAATTATTGAAATGTAAAACATGCTGTAGCGGTTTGATTAAAGATACAGTTGACGACAAGAACCTCAGTTTTATAAAATTGAAGGATAAAGGCGGCCTTATATTTCCATCCAATGACGTAATAATCTGATAAAACAAAAATTTCATCAAAAAATATTAGATAGGAGCTCATGTCAAAATCCTTATCGCATTTTATAGGTATGAATCTTTCTGAAAAAATAAATTTGCACCAATACAATCAATCGCCCATAAATAATCATAATCATTTAATAATACTTATAAAAGAAAAATACATAAATACATGAATGGAGAAATACATAAACGTCTAAGCGGCAAGTTTTGAATAAATATTTACATTTTAATGGTAAATAAAAAAAACGTTGTGTGGTATTTTGGTGAGACAGTAGTGAACCGGGTTCAAAAAAATTAATTATAATTTCCTTATTAATATTTTGTTTTAACTACATATTGTTTATTTATAATATTTTCTGGACATATCGTTTTTTAATTATTTTATTATCAGAACCCCCAAAATATCTTTAGTACCATTATAAATAGATGAATCGATAATTTTCTGATTTAGTCAATCACTAGCGTCTAAGTAAAATAAATGGCTATTGCACATTGCACAGTCGCGACAGATGTTTTTGTGTAAGTTGTACGGTGCATGGTAAATGCACGCTGTGGTATGATGGGATAAGATTTATAATTGGTTATGTAGTAGTAGTACGTTCTTTCTCTGTGTGCGCGACTGTGTATTTATTGATTTTACTTCTTGTACTATTATTTATTCTGTGATTTTACTCAACTGCATCAGTAAATAGAGATACGTTGAGAAATTTAATAAGCTTTTCTTACTTTCGTGTTCAATTCGTTGGGCAGTCGCCATTTATATAGTCATAGTCATTGGGCAAAATTGTTCCCACCTTAGACATGCAGGTGATTTTGGACAGTATTGGGAAAATAGGAAAAGGAAAATATTCAGGCTGATACACTATCACCGTCTTGTTGGACAAAATATTATGCAATACTGAGATACAAAAACAATCACTATAGGCTTAAAACTGCTGGGAAATATATCTAACATGAGTTATATGCATATGCTACAAACAGACCATTAGAACTATTACTTCGAATATATACGGGTTCATGTATATATAATTTGTTTAAACGTTCTGCCGTTCCAAAATTTTTTTAGGAGCTTGGATAACTGTGACGTACTGGTATAAAATACGGCGTACTACAAGTTGTAAAGAAAGTTTCGGACAAGAAGCTTCGTATAATTATGGTTGAACTTCACTTAAGGTAACTTCGTTTAACCATTTAATTATACTTCAATGTGATCACCACCGCGAAGAATGTTTGACTCACATTTCCCGCCGTGTTAGTTTCCCCGCCTTTTTTTTAATAATTGTTTTTGGTTCTTTGCATTTTAGTTGAATCTAGCTAAATGTGTAAATGTTAACTTTTTGGTAGTGATCATTTTTGCAAGTTTCCTTCATAAACATGCGCGCCGCGCGTAGATAATCGGATGCGCAAGTCACAATAAACGGCTTTCTAAATTTTTGCAGAAATACTACCACCTCTATTCATCCCTCGCTCGCACACTGTCGCTATCTATAGACGCCCATTACACGGTAGGTTTTGCTGACTGTTTTACAACAATCACGGTTGTGATTGACGAATAACCTACCGTGTAATGCGGTGATTGACGGTTGCATGAAATTGATTGACAAATATCTGGATATTTTGATTTTTACGTCACTCAACTATGAGTCACGAATTTTGATTGAACTGGTAAGACGCCCATTACACGGTAGGTTTAGCTGTCAGTTTTACAACAACCACGGTTGTGATTGACGAATAACCTACCGTGTCATGAATTTTGATTGAACGTGTAATGGCATTTCGTCAATCACGCGTCAATCAACGCTCAGACAGCAATGGAGGCGGACGCAGAATATATTGAAGAGGCGGCTTCCACGCGCTCACGCAGCCCGTTGCCACTCCCGTCAAACGTGCTTCAGCCAGAAAAAGATTTTATTTTAAATTTTGAGGCTCTCCCCGCTTTGTGGGACACGAAAAACCCCGGGTAGGGTGGATGCCCCTAAATACCAGCCACGCCCCTAATTCCAGCCTTTCCGCTTTTTACTTCTTAAATAAGATTTCTAGTAGTCTTAACTACAGATATTGTCGGCTAAAAATTCTTTGTAACTAGAGGAAAGTATATTTCAAATATTACCTCACAGTTTTAAACCTAACAGTGTTAAATTAAAAATCAAAACACGTACGCAACGGAAAACGCTCATTTTTCTAATTTTTTGACAAGTTATGGTCCCGATACAATTAAACATATTTTACATTAGCTCATCTTTGGGCTTTTTTATTTGTATGAATGTATGTAAAATAATGTATAAGTTTTTTATTTTATTTTAGTGGAAATTAATGAGGCTGTAATTAGATATACGAAATGAATGGAGTGCTTAATGTCAGCCGCCCGGCTGTTATTTGGTTTGATGCACATAATAAGAAGTACCTAATTTCAGCCACGTAATATAAATTAGGGCAGTCATAAACTGGAATAAATACCATTAATTAGAACATAACTTATTTTATAGTTAAGGAAGTTACGTTAGTTAGTTAGTTATTAAGTTAGTTAGTTAGTCAATTCGACTATATTTTAAAATTGGTTTTTGATTTAAAAATTTGGCAAATGATACGTACTTGCTATTCAGTCATTTGGTATATATTGAGAACACCATACAATAATTAATTATTTTTTGAGAAAGACAAAAACAAACAATAAATGTAACTAACTATAACTTAGTAATACTAATTTTACTATAACTGAAGAACATAAATAAAAAAGTCATAACAAGGAAAGTGGTTCAGGACCATGCTTGCGGCAGTCTATGGAGAATGATGTTCTATAGTGGACTTGTGAAGGGCTGAAATGATGATGAAGATTCAAAAACTTGGATGATTAAATTATAAAAAAATCGATGTACTATAACACATAATTTTTATTATAATTTTGTTTTAATTAATTGTTTAGCGTTAAAAGAAAAATGGAACTGCTTAAAGCTAAACCACAGTGAAGTAAGGAGTAGAACATTAAAATAAAATAATTGTTGTCGTCTATCTTAATACATATTCCATGCTTAATTATGCAAAATTAAAAGTTGTTATGAATTTATTTCAGTGCCCCTAAAACTGACCTACAATAGGTACCTACCAAAAACTCAAAAGGCATAGCTCTATGTTATGCTGGCATTAGGTACACATAAGGAAATTGAAATTGGCACTAAAAGGCTGGTAATAGGGGCATCCACCCTATACAAATAAATATAAAAGGTAAGCTTATTTTTCGTCCATAAATGCGTTTCAAATAAAGCCGCGTATCAATTATGCACTCCAAGCGGTCGAACCTTGGCGCGCGTTAAATTAAAATGGGTAAAATGATATTAAATATTACAATTTTTACTATTCGTTTTTTTTTTGTTTTTCTTTTTAAGATATTAAATTACAGTTAAATGGTGAATCGAAAATGAACTTAGTTTATAGAAAGGTCCTTTCCCTCCGAAAATTTGGGTTTGACTGACATCAGTCATCATGAGCGTGTAATGTCGAAATTATTCTATTTTTCAAACGTCAATCATGATTGATCGAACTGATTGACGCTTGCGTAGGCGTGTAATGGGCGTCATACACACCCGCCGGTGAAGACTGAAAAATAGAATACGTTGCGATATGCGTTTTTCACGTTCCATAACTTCAGTCCGACTTGTCATTGAAATCATATCATTGAGATAATGAAATACCATAAACTACAAAGAAAGTCCCGTTTTGCTATACGAGCCAATCTCCGGAATGTTTGAACCGATTGTAATAAAAATTCACGAACAAATAGAGTAATACCTGTGATCTAGACTAAATTTTGTCCAAAAAAAATGTTGATTTTATTAAAATAGAAATACTGATCAGATAAAATAAACGGTATTTACTTAATGATTATCTAAGGTTTAAATGACGCCACATTAATAGATTCCACCCAGGCAAAGCCAGATCGGGTAGCTAGTTATAAATGTTATTTTACCTTAATGTACCTACTTTATTTTAACATATTTTACCATTAATTTTACAGAAAATTTCCAATAAACCGAATAACATAAAGCTATAACAATACTTATACTTACATCGTTATACCTAGCTTTATATTTTATTTGAAGATATTGATAGCGGGATTACCCTATTGGCACTATGTATGTTGACGGTACGGGTTATTATATATTCTGTGGTACGGGCTCGATGAGCCGCCATTTCTAATCCCATTCTTTATCCGTACGGACTGTACACTTATAACTTGTGACGATGTAATCGTTTTCAATTAACTTATCTGATTAAAAAAGTCGAAAAATGTAGATTGATAACAAATATTTATTTAATTTTGCATTTTATTTAATAGGCTAAAATTTCCCACGCTCTCCTGCCTCTACAACTTTTTTTTTTTGTAGAATAAGCGTGACAAGCAAACACACAGTCCACCTGATGGAAGTGGTTGCTGTGGCTGATAGTCATCTATCCTCGTTTGCGAATCAAAATGCAGATGCGTTGTCAGCCATGAGGACTAAGATGGAATGCCTCTTTTCCAGTAAAAACGGTCTCCGGTTCCTTACAGTCACCATACGAAACACAGCAGTGTTAAGCTGCTGTTACTTACTTGCAATATGCACCCTTTAAAATTTTCCCTGAAAGTAAGAGTTTGCTGATATAGTGGATCGAGTGTCCGCCGCGCTGTACTCGTTTTAGCCTTAGCGATGCATCGTTTGCCGCTGACGAGGTAAACTTTGACGTAAGGCGCCGGAAGAGTGCGGCTGCCTTGGCGGGCCTGAAGACCGCGAGCACGAATCACTTCCACCTGAAAGATACGAACACAAGTTATACACCCACCGGCAGCGAGGCAACACTACGTTGTGCCATAGTTATCACTGTTGAGTGTTGATGCAATAGCGTTCACAGCACGACTCGAGCGGCATCGCAAGGCAACGCTGCTTTGCAGCCGCACTACAAAAAAATTTAACGCTAAACGCTAAAACTTGTCATACTCAAAAAAGCGCTAGATCTAGCACTAGAAGCACTTGTTTGATCACCGCTCCTACGTCAATCACCGTGCCTTGTATGTCATGTGACAGTTTTGGTCGCCATGCATTACCGCCGCATTGTGTGGCCTGATTAAAAGAGATAGCATCACTCCTTCCTCCGATAGTTGAAAGCATAATCATCATCATCATCATTACTATTTTTCCCATCAGAAGTCCACTGTTGAACGTAGGCCTCCCCCAAGGAATGCCAAAAGGTCCTAAGCGACCGTATCCATCGAGATCCTATATCTCTTATCAGGTGATCACTCTATCTAGTGCAAGGCCGCCTTTTTTATATTTTTACATAGGCATACTCGCCACGTGGGTGGACGGACGGGATATGTCAGCTACACTTTAGTCAACTTCTCTGATTCTACTGCGGATATCCTTACGAGGATATAAGACATAACTGGACCCAGGAAATCAGCTAATCGCACTTCACCAGCATTGAATAATTCGGCGCGAGATCACACGTGTATTCACAGATATAACGTTTGCAAATGTGTGGTGCTCAGTCTGTCTTAAGCCTCGGTCACACACAGCGAATACTCGCTGCTATTAGGCACTCGCAGCGAGAACTCGTTGCGTGTGACAGGCTATTCGCTGTGAATTGATTCATTCGCCGCGAGTTGAATTCGCCACGATTTGAATTGAATATGTTCAATTTTGCTATCTATGAATGAGCACTCGCTGCGAGAATTCGCTGTGTGTGACAGGGTACTCGCTGCGAGTAGCGTTCCCGCTCAGCGCGCCGCTCCAGACTACACGCCTGTGCATAGGTCGTTTCGTTGCTGCATAGATACGTGTGTGAAATTACGATATAATTCGTTTCTTGGGTGTGTATAGATAAAATGGGAAGTTGTGGGATACAAATAAGTGTAATTAAAAATAACGCAAAGACAGACACTTTCATTTAACGAATTAATTGAGTTGGGATTCGAAATAGCAACCAAAAAGCAATTGAAAAGAAAAATCTATACATATAATAAAAATGTAAATAGCAGACGTCTGTACATTTTATATTTTTGTAATAAAAGTGATTGAGAGATACTAAAAATAAGTAATTAAATACGTTTCTACCGGTTTTAGAATTGTCTGTCTGTCTGTCTGTCTGTTTGTTTGTTAACGTATCACATATAAAGTATTAATTTATATCATGAGAATCGGTAAGGAAATTATAAAGTGTATCTTCGGGTTACATTTAGTCTTTATTTCATTAAAATTAGTTTATTCCATCAAAAGTTATGATAAATATTCTGAAGTATGGGTACGAGGTATATGTACGAATTTGTTCAATGGTGGCGTTGATTGAGTCATCAAGTGCATTTTAAACTATTATCATATTATACATCATAATTAAATGATGTAAAATGATGTTCTATAATGATATAATTATATCTAAAACGCAGTAAATAAAAGTATTAAAGAAAAAACGTAATAAGTATATACAAAAATATATTAATCTTATTATCTAAGTCTAAAGTACAATAGTTAATCAATTTCATCGATAGATGGCGGTGTTGTACAAATGTAATACAAAAAGGCAGGTTGTGGTTTTTTCCTGTAGTTGAGTTTTCATATTTGCTGCTAATCTTTATATTAATCGTTGCCCTACTGCGTGTTGACAAACTCAATTATTCTTTACCGCCGAGTAATGTAATTGGTAAATAAAATTTTAAAAGAGCTATTAACAATTTCGTTGGTTTCGGCTAGGATCAAACTTTCTTTTTTGCTTACTATGCACGCACTGATTTATAATATTTTTTATGTTTTATATAATGTATCAATTGCGTCAATTAATCTCTTTTATTTTTAGAATTGATGTTAACAGTGCCATCTCTCTTTAAATCTATACATATAATAAACATGGTGATAACATGTTGTGTCTGTTTATGTACATTGTATAGTAGGTATGTTTACGACTAAAATCATTATGGGGACTGAAAATCATTAAATAAGTACATTTTTATATCTTTTAGAATAAAAGCTTTTACAAAAATTTACTTCGCAAATATTTTTTAGAATAGTCTGTCTGTCGGTCTGTCTGTTTGATTATGAACGCATAACGTTTTGAGTAAACATCTTTTTTGCAAAGAAGTCGTTAAGAAAATCATAAAGCGTATATTCGAGTTTATTTTTAATCTTTGTTTTATTAAAATTGGTTAATTCTATCGAAAGTTATGATTATTGTTTTGAAATCTAGGTTCAAATCTGTTTAAAGGTGCCATAAAACTCAGAAATATACTTAAAACACAGTAAACAAAAAATATGTTTTCCTTAAATTAAAAAAGGATGTTTTCTCACAAAGAACTTAATAGATCGCGTTGTATAAATTACAACTTTTTCTGAATTCGGCAGGAAGGCCATAATGGCCAACGCCAGTCCCTCAGCTGGTGTTTAGTGGGTAGGCACTTCTTCAAAGTGAGTCCCACATAACCACGCAGCCGGCTGCCGTGGTATGCTATGAGCATTTACCACCTCCCTCCCCCGCTTCTAGAGGGTAGCCTCGCTTTGGGCTCAAAAAAAAAAAAGAATTGCGGTGGTAAGATTTTTCGCTTTTCTTTTAATCATATTATATATTCGAGACTCACTGAAGAAATTTCTACCCATGAGTACGATGAAGTTGAATGAGCCGTGTAGGCTAACAGCACAAACATCACCAGAAACCAGAAAAGTAACACGCCCACCCAAGCTATGCAACGAAACTCCTAATCCCAATTAACTTTCCTTTCAGTTTTAAGCGTGTTCAGTTTCCAGTCAGCGTGTGTTATGCGACGACCGTAAATAAAGCGCAAGCTCAAACTTTACGCGTTCCAGGAGTGGACCTCAGTACTAACTGTTTTGCACATGGCCAACTCTATGTTGCTTTTTCCCGCGTTAGTAGGCCCCATAACCTATTTGTGTACCTACGCCCCGGCTGTCTACTTCTAACGTCGTACACAGAAGCTCTATCATAAACGACTTAGAACTTTGAGGATAACGATTAATTTTGTTACAGTAATGATATAAATCGTTTAATATTCTCTTAACTAAACGTCAAATTTTTTAAGTAAAACCTATATACGCGAGCTACGCCGCGGGCACAGCTAGTTAAGAATATAAAAGATACATAACATTATAGATAATTCTCGTGTAGTGCTCGCTGTGTGTGACAAGCAGGCAGCGAATTGTCGCAGCGAATACAACCGCAGCGAATACAACCACAGCGAATACAACCACAGCGAATACAACCGCAGCGAATATTCGCTGTGTGTGACCAAAGCTTTACATCCAGCCGCATTCGTCATTTTAAGTAGGGATAGAAAAAGGCAAGCTTTGTTGTAGGTGGGGAGGGGGGATTATGTGAGCGTTTGTATGCAAAACATTACAAAGGGGTGTTATACTGTATAAGTTTAATATGTTAAATATGTTATTACTGTATAAATTTAATATGTTAAATGGAAAACTCACTTCCAAGAAGCCTTTCTGATAACACATGGAGAGTTGTACATCGCCAAGAGTTGGTGCCCCAAGGAGTTGTCTTCCCACTAGTTGACCGGGCCCTAGCCCGTCGATGAAATCCGACAAACCACCTCCATCCGATGAACCCGATCCACGCATCCCGGGAGACCATCTGATACGTTCACGTAATAATTTGAGCATAATTTACGTAATAACTTTTTTTAATTAAAACATGTAAAATATGATCGTAATTAAATTATTCTGTTGTCACAAGAAACAGTTCGTTCGACTTCGTATAAGAAAAATAGTGAAAGAGTTAAATATTTCATAATTCGATTAATCGTTTGAGAAACTTTTAATCATTCACTGTTTGTTTAATCACAAACAAAGTCATAAATTGTCTTTTTTATCCATGTATTTATCTTGTTGAAACTAAGACAATATAAAGTACCTATCAAACTATTCACGCGCCGGAGTGTGAAGAATATGGAATATGGTGGTAGCAAAAATAATGAAGATACTTTATCTTTTTTCTGTTTGTGGACACAAAAATACAGTTTTCAAGTTAGGCTTCAATATTCTGCAGTAAACCTAAAACGTATGGTAAACATTTACTTTAGTATACTTAAACTTAACGTTGTGTTAAACATGATAATATTCAATATAGATTTATTTTATTGAGACATAACATCGACTACAAAACCCAGCTATAGGTATGTAAATTGCCCTTTTTTGACTTGCGACGGTGTACATTTTCCAATTGACAAAAATATTGATGTCTTGTAAAATTTCCATAGTACCTATGTTTGAGTTTATAAAACATTCATCTGAATGAGCAATTTACGTACCTACTTTGTAAATATAGTTTTTTAAGAGTGATCAGTAATGTAAATGAGATAAAATACATGCAACTTGCTGGAGGAGTTATGTAATATAAGTAATTAATTATTAATTTGAAAATTAAATATCGCTATTATCGATTTCAGAATATATACATATTATACCTATTAGGAAATGAAATTTAATAAAAGTTAGAAGTCTATGGATTAATTTTGCTGTGCATAAAATCTTTATGAAAATCACGTCAAAATTATGTAGACATCTCTTGAAAAAAAAAAATTAATTATGGTTTTAGAGTAGTTATAAATGTTTCGAATCCATCCATAAATTTTAATATTTATTATTGTGATAATGAAGAATTTAGATTAAGTTCAGAAAAAATAAATGTATTTTACATTATATTTGTATAATTTATTTAATGCACAGCGTAAATAACAACAATCCCTTCGTTTAATGTATTAAAAGAAATTAAAACAAACCACGTATATCTAAATAATTAAAAACTTTAAGATGGATTCACTACAGTCATACTATATTTGTCAACTGGTAAATAAAACTTACAATACTAACAACATTGATACAATAGTGAGAGGAGGGCGGTAGTCTTTGGAATTATCAATTGGTAAGACAAGGAGTCATATTGTTTTGATGAATAGTAAAGGCTTATAGCGAAGTCGGATCAAAACTTGGTGGTTGTTCAGAGAGCTTTACGAGTAAGTGTAAACTCTTCATAACCAATCCCAATCCCAGTATTACGAAAAACTATAGCATCAACCAATATCTATGTGCTCGAGATAGTTTGGTTTGTAAGTATTATTAGATCCACTCACAAAAAATCACTATCTAACGAAACAATACGACTTTTTTTAGACATCTGTGTCCTTTTTGTTTAGTTAAGGCATCGATAGACATATAATATCGGTATACATTTTCCAAGCAAAAGTTTTTATTACTTTATGAAGACGAGATCCCATCGCATCCGAAGAAGACTTGTAAAAAATGCAAAGTATCGGCTAAAAAATTGAAAAGTGTAAGTATTTATTACACTGTGTAGAGATTTCATTTTTTAGTTTCCAAATAATGAAGTCTCTTTATTAAAGAAAGAAAACACATGTATCTTCATTCTTAGTTATAAAGAGTTTACATTGTATAATATATACACACAACATATAATATAGAATATAAACAACAGCAAATAAAATAATAGGGGATGGGTATATCACGAATTTACGAACTACAGTAGAAATGAGATGAATTTAGGGAAAATATTACAAAAGGTAAATTACATATTTACACTATTATTTAGTAGCCACAATATTGGCAAACATTTATTACATTTTACAAACAACTAGCTATTGCCCATAGCTTTGCTCGCGTTTTGATAAAATCCGTTCAGCACATAAGCATGATTGAGAAACAAACATCCAAACATCTAAACTTTCACATTAATGTCGTTAGTAACATATAATCATACTTTCCCTAAATATAAATGATTTGACAAAAATAAGTAGGTAAGTATATTTAGAAAAAAAACCACAAAATAAACTTACCCAGGTACTTGTGTGTTTTATGTCCATCCACCCATCCATCCATTACAGCCTATAAAAGTACACTGCTAAGTATAGGACTCCCATAGATTGCCTCATTGGAGGTATCCCTATGAGGCAATTTTCCATTGATTACCATTGTTGCCACGCTTGGCAGGCGCGTTAGCAGCCATAGTTTTTTTTATTATTTTGAGTTGTTATTAAGAAGATGATGCTGCCTATTTCCTGTTTCAGTTTTCCTCTGTCGACTATTACGACACTCACGGAACGACATGGTCCAGTGGACTCTCCCACGCCGCCCCTACACTATGCGTTTTATGTGACTTGTGTGATTAACAGGCTCAGAAGGGCTAGAACCCAGAGCCGTAAAGACAGTTAAAAAAAAAGAATTGTGTGATTAATGTGTGTTGTGTGGTATATTAGGTGTGACATGCATAATATGTTTAAGGTAAAATGTTAGTAAGATGTTTTCAGTCAGACCGCGTTAAAAGCAACAAGTAAGTATATTATTTTGATGCAAACAAATGCTTTAAGGCAATATTTATGTTCCAACCACACTCGTGCGTCATGTTAGCGAATAATAATTAATATTTGTGATTCTTAAAATATTCTTCTTAACGTTACAAAGCATTTTTCGGAAATTCAGTTTACGCTATCGTTACAGTCGACACCTAGGTATAATTGTCACGTTTTCAAGGAGGTGCATTGTCTATGCGTTAGAAGATTCGTGCGTGCTGAACAGGATAGAAAGTGAAGTAAAAAATAAACACCAATACAAAATGGCGTCATGCGTTTACAAGACGAGATGCACACAGAGGGTAGAGTAAAGAAGACGCGAGCAACATCGATGCACACATAGAGATCGGAGTGATTGGACTCGTAGCAGACTGCGGTAAACAGCGGAGCGGCCGAGCGACTTACGAAGATCCTTCCGAGCTAGATATGGAGACGAGGCTGGTGGAGCACACCTCGTGCGAGCGCTGGAAGGTAGTGGTCGCAGGCCCGGAGCGCTTGCGGCGCGCGCCGCGGCCGCCCTCTAACATCACAGCGCGCGTCAGCCCAGTGCGATACATTTATTAACCGTCGTACACACAATATAAATACCGATAACATTTAGTATGCCAATGTTTCCCGTCGCTACACAGCGTTATTTCGTGAGGTATAATTTACAGGGAAATTGTATCTAATAATGATCGACGTTAAAAATTATTTTCGTTTCGTTATAGCAATTAGCAATTGAAATAAATTCATATGTTTATATTTCTGTAACAGCTAATATAATTTTTGAAGGGAATACAAACAATAATTATAATGAAATGACATATTTATCCATATTGTCGACTAATTCAAGCTCTACATTAGCTGACTTTACAAAAGCAACATCGCACATTTAATATTTCTAAACTGATAGTGAACAATCTAGCATGCTATAAAATATTAGACTTTCGGCATAAATACATAGCGATGCTAATAATATGCGAATTAGTCGTTCTAGCTTTCGTGGAATTGTATGTTGTACGATCCAAATGAGATCTACCGCCGCCCGGTACCACACTATTGTGTCAATGTCGCGAGCGTGATTGCTGCGAACCTGTCATCGTCATTTTCACTGGAGGCGGAGGAGGCCCGGGATACGCCCGCGCCTCCCCTCAATTCACCGGGCACCACCTCTTCGCTTCGTTGTACAGTAAACGAATTTTTCCCCCGCTTACCAAAACCTAACCTTCGCTTTCTTCCTGCCGAGCATTTTAAAATAAATGTATAACCATAAGTTATGATTTAGCGAAAATAAAAAAAAAATGTTAATCTTCGCAGTTTATCTGGAAATATAAAAGATATGTTAAAGATAACACATCAAAATAATGTTAAGGAAAGTTACCTGTAGCAGACAGTTGAGAAGTGGAATTGCTCTTCTTTCCCATACCAGGCCCAAAGTAGTCTCTCGGTTCGGCTTTTAATAAAGCGTCATCACTGGTTGGTTCCATTTCATTGCTGCCCCCTATTGCGGTGTCGCTTAGACTTCCGTCTTTTAAATGAAATAAAATTTTATCAACATTTAGTTAAAAGATACTATTTCTAACACACTTCTTATAAGTTTGGTCTCTATTAATGTATGAATGTAATGGTATTTTTTTAAATTCAGATAACAACTTCTTCCGGACGTCTAAATACTCGAAATCTTAAACTTTGCAAACATATTATGAGCTGATGTAATACAAACATTTCATGGCTATGATATGTAGTATTATTTTATCCGACTTTACTTTTAGTAAAGTATAATTCTAAAACGACTTTTACTTTTCGTTTATCGTAAGTCGCAAGAGATTACTATCAACCTGGCGACGGACAAAGACTTCCTCTTGTACTTTATACTGCAGTTGCCAAATAAGGAATAAGAAAACTACAGTAAATATAACTCACGCAGCGTAAAAACACTTATGTTCAGCGGTTCACTGTAGCCGATTAATCTAAAAACTATAATGAGATCCCTTTCTAGTGATATCACCATCATCATCTTCATTTAAAAATTGTATTTTCGTTATAAGTACCGTATCTACTATCATATGCAATTTTTTTAAACGTTACCCCCACACTAGAATTTTTTCCTGTATCGTGGAGGCAATTTACAAACACAAATTGCACAAGGACAAACATCCAGACCCGGAACAATTATTTGCTTACTATTCTATTATTCTATTCTAGTAAAAAGCTGTAATTTTGACATTACAAACAGACACTTTAATTTTATTTATTTGCATAGCTATAGATTAATTAAAGTTTTTATTTACTAGGTGGCAGTGGTAAGGGTTGTTGTTTACTGCAGGTGTTCATAAGCTACATACCATCAGGTGGCAATACGTCACTAGGTTAAAAAGATAGTTAATACAATTTTCCTACTCTTCATACGTCATCTGCCGATAAACAGACTCTACTGGGTCACAGGCCTCATATACATATATTGCTACAGTAGATTGGAATAATTTATATTAAATTATCGATTATTCCGTCATCTGTCGTTAGTCTTCCATTTATTGTCGACCGTTAAGACACCCATAGCAGATAGGACGATAGATTTTATGATGTCGCTACAGTGAGTGTAGAAGAAAATACCCAGGAAAAGTTATTTACATACATTACTATTGTTTATACTTACCCGCTTTTTCATCAGGTGCATCAGCATTACTTAGACTCCTGGTGAGCTGGCCCCGGCGAGACTCGCGCCTCTCTAAGGGTTGTTGCTGGGTATTATTTCGTCCATTTTCACGTCCTCCATAATCGTTACTGTTATTTGAATCCGTGATGGATGATTTTTTTTCGTGTTGTTGATTTTCCGAATGCATTTTCGCCGATTGTTGTTCGTTTTTATCACAATCGCCATGTCGTTGTGAGTTTGTTTGATCGTCGACCGGTTTTTCCGACGTAGGTTTCGGCGCGTTGTGAGGAATGTCATCGTTTGGCAAGTGTGAGCCGGCGGGAGTGAGCGCACGACGGGACGAGACGAGGTTCGGGTTAGCAAGAGCAACAGACATAGAATTAGCCATCATACTAAAATGTTGATCTAAGTGATTTGCAGGTGCTAAGGAACGGGAACGAGCGCTTTTTATAGTCGATGGTTGTGGTTTGCGTGCCGATGGGTACGAACGATGAGGAAAGTCTGGAGAGATTGATGAACGGTACTCACTGTAGTGTGGAATTTTGTTTGTTCTAACTGTGGAATTTTGTTCCAAAAATATACAGTTTAAAGTTTTGTCTTTATGATCCATATCAAACCGATGCTTAAGTACAGAAGGTATTTTCATATAATCGTCGTTATTTTTTTCTGGAGTTGTTGGTTTATTACTGTAAGATATTGTATGTCGTCTCTGAAAGTCCCGATTATACTTAAAAACTTTTTTACTTTTGTGTTTATACACAGTTTCTGGAGTTTTAGGACTTACGATCCAATTTTCTAAATTTAAAGATTCTGTGATTTTTTTATATCTATCACTATTATAGTTTGATCTAAGGTTAAGTGATAAAAACTTCTTTCTGTTATTTTGGTATAAAAGATCAACGGGCGAATACAAATCGTCGGTATGAAAAAAATCAGGAGATTCTAAACTAATCGATCTTTTATCGTGTAAATTTGTAAGATCTGTTTCATAATCATTTTGTTTCTCAGCATTGACATGAATAGTCGTTTCTGCAATGCTGCCATCACTTTCATAACCGTAATATTGAGATGTTGGCTCGAGCGTTTCATCCAAAGAAGAATTTAGTGCAATATTTGCGCTTAAGTTATTCGAATCTAAATACGAGAAATTGTCTAACAATTCAAAGGATTGGTTTGTTACATCTAAATTCGGCAGTCTTTTATAGTTTAAATATTGAGGACTCTCCAAATGTTGGATATCTTTAGCCCCGTATCTAAAAGGACAAGGTAAATCTCTTAGATTTTGTGTTGATATATGGGAATTTCGTATTTTTAATGGATGCTCAAAGTGCGTATAAGATTTCGGCAAAGAACATATTTCGTCTGCATATAAAATTGGTTTATGATGGACGGCGACGGTTGGTGGAAAGTTATGGTTCGATTTATAATCGGTGGTTTTACATGAGTGTAGATGATCGGGACGTTCAGGACAGCTTAGACTTCGTTCAAAAATTAAACGCCGGGAATATTCTCTAATGGGATGACCGACAGAGCGGCTTCGAGCTAATATTCGTCGAAAATGGCGAGTAGGATGTGCGTAATGCATTGGTGGTGCTTCGTCATGGTCATAGTAAGTTCGCGAGAGAAAAAGACGCCTTGTTGCGTGGTCTTCTCCACTAACAGCACCGTATGTGTATGGCAACATGTAGTGATGCTTTTCTTTATTATAATGAACGCTAGGGAAAATAGCGCTATCATAAGTTGGCGAAGTACTATGAAAAGGGAGAGGTCGCTTCCTGCTGAAAAATGATGTGAACAATAGATAACTATACGATAATTTGGCAAATATTAGAATTCTTATTGGAATGGCAATTTGTCATAAGTAACCTAACGCATTATGTAAATGTATCTTAAAATTTCTATTATTGTTTAGTAAATACAGTCTTCTATTAAAAGGCGAACTAAATGAAGCTATTGATTGCAACTATAATATACCCGATACTAAAATATGTCTAAAGATACAATAAGTTTGCTACTTCCAAAATGTTTGATTCCGTTATTTTACTTATTTCCACAACTTATAGATTCATCATCATCGTCATCATCATAAACTCATAAATATCCACACCCGATCATGATCCTCTCGTGTTAGGGAAGATTGCGCCTTAATCGCTACGCTTGCGGATTGACGATAGCAGCATCAGGTGTCTTTTATGTTTTTTTATAGGATAAGGGTGACAAACGAGCACACAGTCCACCTGATGGTAAATAGTTGCTGTGGCCCATAGACATTAAGATCCATCCTCAATCAAGAATGCATATGCGTTGTCACTCGTGAGAACTAAGATAGAATGCCTCGTTTACAGTAAAAAGGGTCTCTGGTTCTCTACACTCACCATATGAAACACAGCAGTGTTAAGAAGCTATTTTACGCTGGTATTATGTGAGAGCATGGTCTTTATCCGATCGAGCCGACCCATTCGTGCTACAACTATACCACAGATATAGCTGCAGCATGGCTCTACCACGTTTATACGTTTTGTTTGGCGTAAACGAGATTTTTATATCATAATTGATCGTATGCCATGAGATTTTTATTGCATTTCCAATAGCCGCCTCTTACGACACTCATGGGGCGAAAGAGGGTAGTAATAAAAAATGGTTTATTCCTAAAAATTGAGCTACAGAGCTGAGCACAAAGAACAGTAACTTTTATTAAATAATTATTTTAAAATCTAATTACATATAAAAAAAATATCTGGCGGACCCCAAACTAGGCATAGCCTGTATCTTGTGGAGCTGAATGGATTTTCATACGCCACCACAGGAAAAGTTCCAGATTACTTTCATAATAATATTAATTCAACTTTTTGACTTCTATAAACCACTGTTGAGTCCCACTCTACTATCCTTTTAGGGTAAAAGAGGCAGTATTATTAC